TATTGTTATTATCAAATTGAACAACTGCAAATAGCAATAACTTAATTCATGTGATGTATGTACTTCTAGGCATCTTTGGTTTCCTCTTTTTGTGAAATTTAGATGGAAAATGTGTGCCTTTTTATTGTTTGAGTCACTTATCAAAAGTTGCTAAAAGTTGCCAAATAAATTTTAAAAAACAGCTAAATTTGTTGCTAGGTGCTTTTGGAAGAAAAAGTTGCTAGGGTAGTGTGAAAAGTTGCTAAATTTAGCAACAAAATTGCTAAATTGGCAACACTGACTGTATTATGAGAAAGGGTGTGTGAATCTTCACGCAAAGTTAACTCAACAGTTAATGGCTGCTGGAAAGTTACAATAAAAGTCCTTAAGGTGCGCCACTCTTGGGAGCTAATACAGGTTTTACTTTAGTTAAAATGAAACATTTAACTTTTTAGATTATGCATTTAGCATGGTCTTATTAAAAATGGATATATGCATCAAAAATAATTTTGTACTCCACAGAAAATGACACAACCTATTTATTTATTTAAAAAATATTAAAATAAAATACAGATAACAACAATTTTGTTTAGTACTTTTTGTACTTGGCAAATGTGGACCTAATTAAACTGTGTAAACACAAAATAAACTTGCTTATTATTTTATTTTTTGTCGTCATTTTATTTAGTTAAAAAATATTTTTTCGTAAACAAATATATTTTTGCAGCACCCTGTTGTTAAGATGACAAAAAGGTTTACTATTTAAAAGTTAGATTTTTTTTTCTTTTTATTGCAAATATAAACAAACTTCAACATAAATAACAGGAAGAAGAATGTAAAATATATTAAAAGTTCAATTTTTAGGCTGGTCTGTCTCAGCAGTTTAACAGCGCTCGTCAATGTCAAAATTATTGAGATACGCCAAAAATTCCAAAGAGGAAGAAGAAAATTATTGAGATGGCCAATCAAATTTAAGTAATGGCGCGAATGTGCCAGTTTAATGTTGAAAGAGAGCGAGGTAAGATTTAAGTAGAAAAGCATTTATATTTGACAACTATTTTACGATAGAAGTGCTAAACGACAATCAGTAATATCCATTGATGCAAACTATTCGACTTTCGCCGTTTTGAATCGAAAATATGGTATAATTTATTCATAATTCCTAACAGAATGTGACCAGACAAGAAACGTTTTGCATTTCGACATATTAGGCGTAGAGAAATGGAACGGTGAAGGAAATTCTAGGTTTAATTCTACATGGGAAATAATCATTTTGAACTATTTACAAACAATATTTTACAATATGCACACATACTTTATTAAACAATATTCAAGGCATGGTTACTACCTTGATTTAATTCAGTCTACATCTGTTACTCCTCAGTCAGGTAATACTTTCCCTTACTTTACCAAATGTATCTTTTTTAATCTAGACAATTGTTGTCATAGGGTCGGCAATTTAAAGGATTAGTTCACTTCCAGAATAAAAATTTCCTGTTAATTTACTCATCTCCATGTCATCCAAGATGTTCATGTCTTTCTGTCTTCAGTCGCAAAGAAATTAAGGTTGTTGAGGAAAACATTCCAGGATTTTTCTCCATATAATGGACTTTGATAGTGACCAACGGGTTGAACGTACAAATTGCAGTTTCAGTGCAGCTTCAAAGGGCTCTACACTATCCCCGCTGACGAATAAGGGTCTTTTCTAAATGTAACTATTTCTAAAAAAATAAAAATGTATATACTTTTTAACCACAAATCCTCATCTTGCACTAGCTCTGCAATGCGTGTCCACAAATTCACACATAGGGGTTCAAGATGGCGCCCTGAACATACGTATGTTTGTGAGGTCTGCAATCCCAATGAAACGTAAGAGGATCTTTTAAGAAATTGTCTTTATTAATTACTTGAATTCTGTAAACAACAACAATGGGAGGTTCTGAAAAGAGAAAAAGTGTAAAGAAGTCCGGGAAATCAATGAGTACTCCTACAGCAAGTGATGTCGACACAAGTCTACAAGCAATGGAGCGTCGTGATAATGCTTCTGCAACCGGTGTACTGAAGGATAATCTGCACGATTACTTTGAAACTTTGTTTCTGAGATTATGCTGATGGAGGAGGTAATTCCGCCATTTCCCGACACTCCGTGCAATTCTCCGGCTGGTAAAGTTAGGAGAACAGATAAAGTAACGTTAGATGCAGCAAGTATTTCTACGCAACTCTCCGAGCTCTCTCAGTTGGTGAAAAACAGATCAGACGGATTGGAAAAGTTGATTGGCGAAAACTCGCGGATGATCAAAGACATGAAAGAAGAGATCGGCAAGAATACGGAACAAATCTCTGGAATGATGGAAACCATTGAGTTCATTTGCAGCGAGGTTAAAGATTTGAAAGAAAGAGTTGATTTTATTGACTCACGCACAAAAAAAGAAGAGATTGATTCCACTGAGCGAGAAAAACGCCTGGCTCATCTGGAAGTTTACACTCGTAGATGGAATTTGAGAATCCACGGAATTCCAGAGAAAGAAAGAGAAAATGTCCGTCAGGAGGTTATCGACGTGTGTCAACGCCTTCTGCCACAATTTAAGGATAAATTCCCCGATGTCGTTGATGTGGCACATCGTTTTGGCCGTCCTAACCCACACAATAAAGGCCGTGGGATTATCTTCCAATTCACCTCGCGCTTTTACCGAGATGCTGTTTGGCGTGCCGCCAAGGATGCTGATTTTCTGACTGAGAATCGGCTGAAAATCACGGAAGACCTGTCACCGGCTGATAAAGCGAGGAGGATTAAGTTATGGCCTGCAGTTGAAAAAGCCCGAAAAGAGAACAAACGGGCTTTTTTCGTCGGAGGACGCGCATTTGTAGATGGTACGGAAATATTTCCTCCAGTCTAAAAGTTAATGGATTTGACTGGATCCACCCTGATTGCTTTTGCTGAGGTGATTCTGGGATTGTTGTGGGGACCACAGCATCTCTAGGACTTCACTTTGATCCAGTTTTTCCCTCTTTTCTCCCCCCTTTTTGACGTTGTTGTACTTAAATGGTTCATTTAATTCTAGCTATATAAAGGGATTGTTGTCCTCATCCCTTTTCATTAAGTTTCTGACCAGTTGGGTTCTCTGTTACAGTGACACTTAATTTTTTTACTTGTTCTTAGGTCTCGTTCTCTTGTTGATCTTTATTTATTTATTTTTTCTTGTTTTTTTCTTTCTTATGTCTTTTTCTATTATTTCTTTAAATTGTAGAGGGCTACGTAACATTCTTAAGCGTAAGGCAGTTTTTTTGTATCTTAAACGTTTTAACACAGACTTTTGCTTTCTACAAGAATCTCATTCAACTGTACAAGATGTCAAATTATGGAGGTCACAATGGGGGTTAGAAATGTGGATGTCTCATGGAAATGAACATTCTGCCGGAGTTTGTATCTTAAAAAATCATTTTAGTGGAAAGATTTTGTTTACTGATTGTGATGTTAATGGTCACTACATTTTACTTGCTTTACAGTTTGCAAGTTTGACATATGTTATTGCCAATATTTATGGTTATAATTCACCAAAAGATAACAAGTTTTTTTTTAATAAATTAGGAACACGTTTAAATTTTATTTTATCTAAATTTCCAAACTCTTCCTTAATTTTTGGTGGTGATTTTAATGTTGTTTTAAATAATACCCTAGATTGATTTCCCCCTCAACCTACTAATGCTAATTCTGACTATTTGTTAGTCTTTATGCAAAAATTTTCTGTTGTTGATATGTGGCGAGAAACACATCCCTTGCAAAAAGTGTTCACTTGGAACAATAATTCGTTTTCTAATCAATCCCGACTTGATTTTTGGTTAACTTCAGCAGAATTATCAAATATTAAGACCAATATATTTCCCTCTCTGTTTTCTGACCATAAGGCCATTTTTATCTGTGTTCCTCTTGTGTCTTCTACTTTCTTGAGTAAAAGGCCCTCATATTGGAAACTTAATACTTCAATTCTTCATAATAATGAAGTTCAAACTAAAATTGACAACTTAATTTCCTTTTATTGGGATAAAGCTAATAAAGAGAATATATTTAGCAGTAATTGGGAACTTCTTAAATTTGAAATTGGGAAGTATTGTCGGAAATATTGTAGTTTGTTAGCAAAAACTAGAAAAAATAATGAAGACCAAATTATGGCTAGAATTACTGCTTTATCACATAAAAAAATGGAAGATCTTACAGATTCAGAGAGAATTGAGCTCATAGATCAGAAACATCACTTAGAAAATATATATAAACAGAAGGCTGAAGGTGCCTTCATCAGATCTCGTCGGAATTGGTTAGAGGAGGGTGAGCAGAACTCTTTCTCAAATGCTTCTGGCCTTCTGCTCAATATTAATAAATGTGAATTACTCCCGATTAATAAATGTGCTGTATCATCTCTCTGCAATATTCCCTTCAAAGAGAAAGTCACGTATTTAGGAATCAAAATAATAAAAGATACTAAACTAAGATGTCAGGAGAATTTTAACCCAATTGTGGAGAAAACAAAAAAAAAATTTAATCTTTGGTTATTAAGAGATCTTTCTTTGAAAGGTAGGACTTTGCTTACTAAAGCGGAAGGTATCTCTA